TCAAATGCCATTTGAGGAGGGGCAGATAGAGAACCCGATATGGGGGCTCCCCTTTCCATTTTCATTTTCATATAAGAAATATAGAGTGGGCTTTACACAGGCTGAAGTGATTCAGTGAATTCAGGAGCCTTCCCATCTAAAGTTTGCTCTTTACTCTGTCTTTTTGATGACAATCCTCCATCAAGAGAGAGCAAGGCAGTGAGATTGCTTCTTGGTGGCGCTGATGATCAACCCATGCAGACAATTATAAAGTGAACGGGTCATTTCCAAGTGTGACTCAAGGGAAATATGCGTGAGTGTACTCAGCTTGACCATAGAGATGTATACAAGTGTGACTAGAAGTCTTCTTATTTCCACATGGATTCTCTAGTAATTTTTATTGCATTGCAAAAATTTAAAGTCTGTACGCTTTGGTGCAGTTGGTTTGAAATACAACATGTCTCACCATCTTCAAATTAATGATCAAACTATTAATAGTTGCAGAAGGTTTTAAGAGCAGCTTGTTAAGACACCTGCAATTCTGAAAATGGTGTGGAATTTCAAGAACCATGTTACCTTTGAAGGCCAGAATATTTTGTGAAAGGTCAGCTGTCAGAAACTAGTCAATCTCAGATCACTCACTAGCCAGCCCCGTTTTGTTAAAACAAAGATATTCATAATAGTATCAAAGCATACCGCTTACATCTGTGATAAAATTTGAATTTCTAATATTCTACCATTAATACATTTTGATGCACCATGCAATCTAGAATGCAATGCTAGATTCTCTGTTTGCCAAGTCTATATCATTTCACTCCAGACTTTGAATGATTTGATAAGGTTTGAACTGAACATCCACGATTGATCTCTCTGATCTTTGGTGAGGGAATTAACATGACATGTCGCCATGAGAATGAAGTGCATAGACAAGATACATGACGTAAAATGGGTGAAACCTGCTACGCATCCTGCATTACTAGTGGATTGCTTGCTGCAGTCAATGATGTATTCCCTGCTAATGTGCGTAATGTTTAATGGAAGCTTGGGGTACATGACATCATGGGGGATATCAAACAGTCTTGAAGCTATTGGTGAGCTTTGTTCCTTTATCAAGATTTTTTTCTTTCTAAAGAGACAATTTAATTGTGGGAAAGAGTTTTATTTTCAATTCATTTGTCTGGGAATTATCTTAAATAGCTTTGTTGTAAAATTACAAGATTATGATAATGAATTATGGGAGGGAATTGTGATATGATCATGTAAATTGAGACCATACAAATTAAAAAGTATCCAATTGGTAAGGTAAAAGTGCACTGATGAATAATGAAAAAAGATTGTAGATAGTGAAAGTTGGCAAGGAGAAGGCATTCATAATGACATTGTCAATGGCTCTCTCATATATACATTTAATTTCACCACACTTTATGCTTATTACACTCTGGCCTGCAGCAATATAAACAAATTATGCAAACGAAATGACATATCATTGAATTTGCTTTTAACATGATTATATACACCATTGTGATGGGATGGCATATCCAAAGTAGCATGCAGTAAGACAAATTCAGTTTCAGACGAAATGTTTCAGATTTTGTTTTGAATTTATAATGCTATGTGATGTCTTTAAACGCATAATTAAACTGAAGACAAATCTACATCAGGATGATCCATACACTTAGCCTCAAACTAAATATTTAATTTTACTTTGTGGCTTTCTTTCTTTCGTTAAATTGGTCAAGCAAGAAAATTATAAGATAATAAGATTCGTCCTCTAAAATTCAAAAGAAAAGACGAGGAACATTGTTGAGACTAGAGAGTTTGTGTAACATTATTTGCACAAAGAGACTAATCCATTGAAGAGCCATTCAACATTTTAGGACACAAAGAAGGCCAATTTATGCTCTAAGGTTTTCTGCTTTTATTCAAAGACCTTATCTATAGTGCCATTGTAAATAGACTTTCTCTTTTTTCCAGTTTTTTGAAAAGATGATTAAATTGTGTTTAATGTTGCCATAAAAAAAAATCAGTATGTTTTTGGCTGTCTCAGAAAGAAAAATCTTTTTTTGGAGAGGGCAGAGATGCATTATGATTATCTACTTAAATACTTTGATTTGTAATAGTTCATTATTTTTCAAGTGCACTACAATTTTTTTAGAGCACAGTTTCTATATAATGGTAGCTTTGGGACGATGCATGGCAGTTTCATAGGTCCTTTGAGTATACGGATACGGGAGAGAAAGAGAGAGTGCCAAAGTAACAGAGAAGAAGAGGGATATTGGGTGTGGTGTAATTCTAGGAGATGCACTGATGCATCACTTGTGGAGAGATTTGTCTTGAAGACTGATGCCTTGGCTTGGCTTGGGCTAGCTAGCCAAGCAAGTGACAGCTCCCTCAGACATACAGACTACCTATGGAGCTAGCTTCATTGTTCTCAATCAAGAAGCTGTGACAAACACAGAGATCTAATTCAGGATAGACTTGTAAGAGATCCCTTTGATGGAACAATAAAAGAGAGAACAAGACAAGAGAAAATCACAGCAAGATTGTCAAAGTCTAAACAAAGCTGATATGGCTCTATGACAAGCATCCATTACACAAGGAAAGGCTGTGTAATGGGTTAGGAGGAGACATGTTAGAGACGTCTCCTCCTCCTAATAAAAGGAGAATAGAATTGAGGATTATCCACTGACTAACTGCCTTATTATTGATGTTACCAACTACCAAGACATTCTCAAAGCTTAGCCTTTACATTAATACAAAGTATTTCCCATGTCGTTCATTGTTCAATACTTCTTAACAAAAAATGTGAATAAAAGTGAACATCAACTATTTTACTCATTATGTTGTAGTAAGAAAAAGATACTAGTTATCAAGAATTAAAGACTTCTATTCTTGAATTTAACTACGGTACATGCCTATATTATTATTGTCTGGACTAATGGTTATGCATTTTGTATATATTTAATGTAGTTTTATTGTAAGTAATTTCTAATTTGGCTTGATTTTTATTTTATTATTACTAAACTTCAAATTAATTCTACATCTTAGAAGTTGATAGCTATCCCTTTAAAATTCATCTTCAGAGCATGTCATATCCTGGTAATGAAGAAATCAGCAATGCGAGAAGACAACTTGAATTTCACCAGCCATTTCTGTTTCAATCAAGTATGGAAGCCTTGTGTTTTTCTCTCCTTCTGCCCAACTAGGATTTAGTCTGTTTGTGCATGCACTTGATTGTTTTGTGTTGGTCACTAGAGCATCAGTGTGTGCTTTGGAACAGCATATGGAAGCTAGTAAATCATTTCTAAATGCTGAGCATCAATCAGTCACTGATAAATGGATCATTTTTTGTTTATTAGTTTGTCATTATGAAGAAGAAGAAAAAACATCTTTGTTGAAAATGTTCAAATAAAGATTTTTATTTAATGATAACACGGTAAAGCTTGCATCATCCATATTGTCTGGTAATTTACTCTTTATGATCTCTAGTACTACCTGTTTTGATTGGATATCATCAAGTAATGCTTCTGAGAGCAAAGTTTGGATGTGCAGTAGTTAAGCCCATTTACCTTGACAAATTTCTCCCATGTCAAATTAATCTTGAATGATTGAGGTAATTGTGCCCTGAAATTGGAAAATGATGAATGATGTAGTTATTGTCAGAGCGAGTATATCTTTCCAGTTTCATATCGAGCTGATTGAAAAGGCTGCTTAAATGTACTGTGCATGCATGTGCATACCCAACAAATATTGGAATTATTATTAAACAGAATTCAAGTCCTATTATGATTGTATTAATGCAATGAGAAATCAATGTTTCAAAGTATTTAATGTTATAATGAAAGTATTTCTGTTTCTGCAAGTTAAGAATTTTCACTAAAATGGAATATATCCTTGTGCCAATATTATTACAAAATCATATAAAACATAATTTTTTAGTAGCCCAATTTAGTGTTGCTCTCTCTAAGGAATAAATAACATTACCCGGTTTTCTCCATTTACAATCTTTTCTTCTCCTTTCATGTGGATATGGTGTGAAGGGGAGTGAAATATGACTTGATTAGGATTAATTTGTGACGTTTGTATGGAGGAATTTGGGTCTCTATGCGACGCAGCTTCGTGTTATTGTGTAGCACCCTTAAATTGATTTCATTTCTGGAGATGGATGATGCTAATGTATCTTGCCTGGGGCCAGATAATTTCCAGCCTGACAAAAGAATATGTCGGTGGTGTTATAAATTTTTCTCCAATGCAGCAGATGCCATCACCATATGAAGCCAACTGTAAACTCATGATGCAAAGAATGGAGCGCTCATAATGCGTTGAAATCCCTAGAAAGTTCTGTTCTATTCACCAGCCTCGCAAGATTTATTCGATTATAGGCTCGTGTTGTGTTGGAGGAAGCTCAATGCACATTACATGCTTCAACACTTTCATACTCCTGATTGCTTGCAGCCGTTTACAAGGCAAGAGGAAAGTGATTGTTAATTGAATTGAATGGCATGAACAAGACAAATCTGGTAGAACTAGGTGTGCGCTTGCACACTATTTATGGTTTTTAACAAATCTGTGCAAACAAATGACCTACAAATGAAAGGAGGCATGTCAACGAGTCAGATTAATGGTTGAATACGTCACAATGAAGATAATACATACCAATCGTTGATGCATGTTATATCTACATGAAATATGACGCATATAATTATAAGCATTGAGGTTTGAATTTTAAACCCTTGAGAATCTCTTCTTCTGTAAAAAAATAGTCAAGTGGTTGAAAAATTGATTGTTTCCTCTTCAGTGAAGCTCTCCAAGTATTTGTTTTTATTGCTAAGCATTTCAGAAATGATAATTAACAAAATACTTTTTTTAGTACAACAATTGATGTGAAGTGTCACTTCACATCTAAGAAATTAGAAGTGGGATAATGCTTCTTGGTACGTGCTATTTGATATGATTCTTGTTTAGTGCCAGTAGGCATAAATAATTTCTTAATATTTTAATAAAACTTATGAATCTTGTCTTTTTCTATCTTTGTCTGTCCAGGAACGCAAGAGAGGGTAGCATTGTTGACTGGTCCAGTGGAATCTCTCAATAATGTAGCAGTATTTATTCTTGATAAGATCAAGGAATCCCCACAACTAGGAGTCAAGGCAGGAGCAGAAACCATTACCTCACCAGAAAGAGCAAGACAGGTACAGTAAATATCCATTATAATTTCATCCAAAATGTGAAGTAGGGTGTGCAGAACTCGTCTAGACCATTCCTGATAGTGTTAATTGTCTATGTGGAGCAGAAGGGTGTTAACTCATAGACTTTCATTGAGAGTGAATGCCCTTCTGGCTTTGAGCAAATGAAATAGTCAGCTGCCCTGAAGAAGGCATCTACTGCTATTGACAATACTTACGTATTACGGCCTTCTTCCAGGTAGCCAAATAAATGCTCTGTTCAAAACAGTTAATGATTCGGATTTCAATAATTGTTCTGACATGAACTTTACACAGCTGTGTCAGGGTGAAACCTCTGGTTAATTATTACTAAAAAAATCAGAAAGTATGTTACACCCATCTGCAACAGACACAATACACAATGAAATGTATTTTTAATTTTACAGTGCTTTGCAAATTGCATGGATAAGCTTAGCTTCAACTCTACGAATCATTATAGATAATTGCAAGAATAGATAATCAAGAGGAAGGATCTTCTCCTAGATCTAGCGATGTATGAACTAGAAAACTCTGAACCATCAAATGATGTGCACAACATAAGGCCTCTGTAAATCTTCTCATTATATTAAATCAGAATTATATCACTTGATGTTCATGAATTATGAATAGCATTGGGTGTTCTGTCTATCCCCACATTTATTCCCTAGTGCACAAAACTGAAGTGGACTGCTTTTGTAGGACTTGCACAAATGCATTCATACTACAGGATACAAGCAAACCATATGGTACCTAGCAGGCATATATATTCCCATGGCATGTTTTCTATTGTGCATTTTCTCTTTCTTTGTTGAAAGGAAATCCTTGATTTGAAATTCTGCTGGTACCATATCAGCATTTCCCAACATCCGCGATGGCCGTCTTGGTTTTATCCCTCTATTTCACAGTATTAAGACTATTCCTTTGTCTTGGTATTGATCGATAATCATCTTGGTATCGCGTTTCTGGCTAGGGCGTTGAGCTGAAAATCCAATTCAAGCCAGAGCGCAAGCATGAACAAATGCTCCTCTCCGAGCCACTTGAAGAGAACTTGATAAATCATCATTTTACAAGATTTGGTTTGAGTAGGGGATGCTGGGCTGTGGCCCGAAGCCTTCATTATGTTTTCAAGTGGGCAAATCAATTCTTGAGCTACCTCTTCCAGAGAGCGAATGGGGGCTCGGCAATGTAGCCATTTTACCCGCAACCTTTGATACTAAATGAAATGGGATGGATGGTGACCATGTGAATGTTAGGCTAGGTTTGTGATCATCATATAACTGGACACTGTATGTTAGCAATAATGATAATCAGGATGAAACGAAATGATTGCATAAGGTCTGGAGGACAAGTTTAAAAACATTGACTTTAGTCTGAGAGGAGATAGAGCCTAAAAAGTCACATCCCTCCCCCCCCCCAAAAAAAAAAGATATAGTAATACAAGCTTCCTCTAAATTGTCACGTTGGTAAGTCAGGAATAGAAGAAGTCTTCCCATAAAACCAGTAGTCATGATAATAACTCCTTGGTCATGCACACAAATAGATGTTTAGCCAGAAGACAAACTTGTAACTCACATCCTTCCCTTCTAAAGATCATCCAAATTTTCCTAATTGAAAATTTCTCCACTTCAATGTTCTATGGCAATGGATGCGAAAACAAGTATAATGATTGGTGATTAGCGATAGAAACAGTCTGTGATACCCCGTCGTTTCCAAGCCAACACAATTTAAACAGTTTCCTCTCATTTCCTGCTGCCTAGTACTTAACTAAGGAGGAATCCTTAGTAGATGAAAGATTCCTGATTCAAAGTTAAAAAGAAATTGGCAGGACTCTCCTGCTCCTAATAATATTGTAGGGCTCCTGTCCTTCACATGGAGTTTTACTTTTATCAAATCAACATGAAGGTCTTTCTGTAGACAATTTTTGCTTAATAAGTGATATCCAATGATCACTTTCACAGCTGTAATTGACAAAACAGAGGAATAGGAGTTAAATTTCCAACTCTTTCACTTTACAGCACAAGTGAATATTATGACTGTCATGGTGTAGTGGGAGTCATATTATTCTTTATTGAGTAAAATTATATTTCAGCATTTTGCCAGAAAAGAGGGCGTTTGGTTATAAATTAGTATGCACACTGCAAGCGGAAGGGTTTAAGAAATGGAGAGACCCCTGTAGCCAACTAGATATAAAAAGATGGGTAGAAATTGGGTCAGGTCCATAATCAGTCAAGGACCGAAGCAAACATTCTATTTCCTAAAAGGGCTGTATTCTGACATTGTACACAGCTTGTTGTGATGAATATATTTGGAGCTTTGACTGCCATTTGAGATGATGAAGCTAATCCTGTATTCTTGTCTTCAAATTGACTTATGATCAAGATTCGTCACTGCAGTTAAAATCAATCCTCTGTGGAGGTGTAACAATCTGGCAAGTCATTCAGGTCTGGCCAGGCACAGAGGGGCCCAGACTGCAATTCAATCCAGATCAAACACGGTCAGGCCAGCAAGAATATGAAACCATCATTCTGTATGATAATACCCTGTATTATTTCCACTTCGAAACCTGAGCTCTACTCCATCTTACCAGATACAAAGACTGGTAACAACGAAAATACTCAGATATCAAGATTCTGGCTAATAAGCTTTAGATAGTTTTCTTCCGCAAACCATTTTTATGCTTGAGGAAAAGACAGATTTATAAACAAATACTATTATTCAATCTTTATATGTTTGTTCATCATTGTTTGAAGTGTTTTTTGTTTTGTTATGAAATCCTATTGAAAATTATCATTAAAAATATAATTGAAGATTATCGTTAGAAAATATAATTGAAGGAACAATTTCTTGAAAGCTTAGTAAAGACTGGGTAGGTAGACTATCCAGCTGACCTATGAAATATAAATCTAGTGGGCATACTGAAATAACCAAATCTTATCCTTTCTATTCTACATGAAAAGACATGAGGGATTTGAAATTTGGGGATAGAGTGGGGATTTTAGAGGTCAATTGTAAGGGGCTCCATCATGGTTGAGTTCGCCAAAAGCCCTAGGTCTGCTGCCAATGTGCCCAGTTTTGAGTATTGCACGGTTGCAGGTCACCGTATGCTGCTAAATGTGCTCTACAGTGCTGCAAGTCTGTATTATGCAGTGTTGGTACGATCTAACCGTGGGTTGTGGAGAGTTTAGAGGAAAGTTCAGCAGTAAAAACAAGCTCCTTTGACAGGTCACTGGAGGTGATTTATACCTCTTTCCCCATTTCAAGCTTGTTGATAAAATGAATGCAAGCCTGGGCATTGCTTTCGTATATAAAAAGTGAAACGTATCCCTGAATTTTCAAATAGTTTTTATTTGTAGAGACAGTATTTCTATTTAACTTTCCACCTTTTAAAGTTGGTGTCTGATTCCAGGCGGATGTCATATGATTTTTATGTAATCACACACTACTCACGTGATAACAGTTATATCGCATGCAGGATTAATATTTGGAGAAAAAAAAGGGTTTGTTCACAAATTTCATATTTATTGAAAGGCTTTTGTACGAGCTTATACTACAGCATTGGCGAAATGACTGTGATTTGTGAAGGCTGTATGTTTCATTAATTAGATATGAATGTAGATTCTATGATGAATTATCAGACTGAAACAAGGACTGCCTTACTGATTACTATGCACAATGAGGGGAAGTCTAAGGTCACTATTCATTTCCCTGTATGTAACAGTCAACATGAATACACACAATGACATCAAACACAATTGACTACAGTAAAATAAAAATTATACTTTTTTTATGGCTGCTGCTGTTAGTTATTTTATTTCATATGGGAAAATTAATTTCTATCATCAATTTGCCCTTATCCCACTGAGTTTATGGTCTAAAGAATAATAACACACATTTTCCATAGACCCCACAGAGTTTTCTGAGGTTTAGTATTCGATGGGTTAAAATAAATTGTAACTCTTAGTCTTATGTAGCACTAGCAGTTGGATGTTTCCATCTGTAGCATTTATGGCTGGCTGGATGTAAGGAATGATAGCACTATGTCCCATATGGTAGGGATAGAAGGCTCAGACAAGGGCTTGACTGCAAGCATTTACTACCCTGGCAAATACACAAAGATGTGTGCTCTACATGCTGGCTGTATGTAACATCTGTTAGGATGCTGTGGGACCTCTAAATCAACATAATTGGTTGTAATCGACTAACATTAACAGTCACTGTGATTTGAAGTAAGAAATTGTCCTATATCGTAGCAACATGTTGTTATATTAAAAGAAATGTCGTGCCCAGATAATAGAATACATGGTGGGGCAGTGCCATCTTCTAGGGATGTGGTATGTACCTGTGAACCCTGATGTAGACACAGATCATTTGCAAAAGTATTTTGATATTTTAGAGGGTCTTCTGACTTCAAGGAATGGAAGGGGGGCTGGGGCTGGCAAACACCAAATCCATCCTTTGTTGGACATTTTCTATTAATCTTTGCTCTGTAACGACTGAAGTACAACCTTGTTGCAATATCCCCTGATCTGATGCAGAAATAAGCTGCGGTAGATGATGGGCATTGCTATACCCCTAGCACACCATCCATCTTGTCCAGACTTTCTTTTCTTGCTCATTGTGTACCTAAAGGTTAGTGCAAACATATGCACATCTATAAATGGGACTGGGAATCCATCAGCAAATGTGTTTGTCTACATCATTATATTACTTATCTTTGAATTTGAAACCTGGCTCTCGCTCTGCACGAGTAACATGCTACAAAATTATTTAGTGGGTTTTTGTTCTCTCCAGCTCTCCCCAAGATGGTCTTTGCATAATGATGGCATATTGACACGCTTTGCTCATTGAATTATCTATAAATTTCTCTCAACAAATTTAAATTTGTGATATGATAAAATTTAACCAAAAACACAGAATGTTGTAATATGCCTACATTTTTTCAAAGAGGAAGCAATTCTTTTAGTACTGTACTTTTTGTGCTGCGTAAA